GTGTATTTTCATGGACCAGACAAAACACCTTCGTTAAAGCACAGGACTATCATGGCTCTGTTGAATTCCACGAACCCGTGCAAATAACTCGAGCAATCGTCTTATCGACATGAAAACAATCTAGTGCAAGGTGGAATATTAACTTATGGTATGGATTATCGAAAAAATTGGGTTTTATACATACATGCGTGTGGCTATGTCATCACACCATATCCGGATATAAATAACGGGCTATCCGGTAATTAATTACATTTGGCGCTACGAAATTGCTATATTTGACACCGTAATCATTCGACAGCACTTTCGAGACCTACAAATTTAGAATAGACGTTTCATAAAAACTATGCGGGGGTAGTTTCACGATTGACACGTATATAATTCGGGGCCGTGAAGATTCGTGGGACTGGTTTACCTAAAAAAGAATGTAATTAATAGCGCATTATTTTAGACTGTCCTATTTTAGCCAAGAGGTAGTAGTGGCTTAACAAAAAGCCATAAATATTCGTACATCCCAACCGATTAGATTGTTCAGTCACAAGCATTATGCAGGATGCTCGATCAACATGCATCACGATTTTTGGAACTAAAATTCGATATATTTAGCAGGTTTTCGTGAATACATATGTGCGCTATTTTAATGCAACCACGTTCTACGTATCAACTGTTGATACATATAAATTTATTTCTGTAATAACAGCAAAATTTAGAATTTTAAATTTCCAAATATTTCTAATTACCCATGTATTAAACTGCGACTTTCCGTGATCGTTCCGTGATAGCGCATATAAATTTAATAAAAATTTTCCGTGATCGTTCCGTGATGGTTCGCCTAATCATAGGGATTAAGACGGCCCGCATTAAATTTTATGCGGTGTTACCTTAATGCATAATTACTTTCCCAACGTCTATTTTTTATTATTAACAGTTAACATATGAATAACTAGGCCCTTTTCTATTATATATGATTCCGCGATAAGAATGGGACTTAAAAAGGCCATAAGGGTAATGAGTATAACGTTCTTAATCAGTGGTTTTGTCAAAATTCATATGTTACAGGGATTTTGAATTCTCAGATCGGCGAGATCGTTGACTTTTTCACTTCGTAGTACCGATCGTTGATTCTAAAGGGGTTTTAATTTTTAGTAAAAAAAAAACGGCAAAATATATTCAGTATTTGGAGCCTATAACCGAACGGAGTTGCTTTGTTAAGTGTGATCTGGTATTGTGTTAGAGTAACGTAATTACTAATCTTGTAATTTTCCTTCTGGCAGGTTCTCTAGATCTAACGAGTATGAAGTATAAAATAAGCGATTTTTTTTGTTTCTTGTAGGTGGGTTATAATAATATTTTTTTGTCAATACATATTTTTTGCCCGTTCATAATTTATTTTTAAAGTAATATATTATACCATTTAATAGTCTATAAAAACGAAACTTTACTTACTATATTTTTTTTATTTAGAATGTCCACTAACGATAATACTACCCCCACAACCAATGATACCACCCCCACGACTGACACCACTACCACTACCACCATTACCACCACCTATGACACTATCACTCCCATGACTAATAACCCGACGCCATCTAAACCAAAACCTACAGAAACTATTCTAATTAGTAAGAAAACTCTATCTATTTGTTTTGCCAACTTTACTAAAGCGATATTTTTCAGAATTAAGTTTTTTATTTCATTAATATTAGGAAAGCATGAAGAAATACGAAAAGATGGAACAAAGATAACTGATAGTGTAACTTTGAAAACAAAATCTAATGATGGTTCATTACTTCGAAAATTTCTAAACGAAAAATAAATATAATTTCTTTATTTGTATAATGTCAGTTCGGCAAAAAAATATTAAATAAAGAAGGGGCCCTCGTTGGGTCCTAATCTTTTATTTTTACATGCTTTTTTTACATGATTTTTTACAATGTAATTTGCGATTAGTGGAGACTATTGAGTTAACTTTATTATTCTATGCTCTTACGGTTACTATTGGGATTCCAGCATCGCGTGTTAATATGCGCTAATTAAACGATCTGAATTTTTATAAGTTTTTTTCCCACTACTTAAATCATAGTAATAGTCTGGTTCATCATCATCAGAACAAGTGAAATTCTCATTATCGTCATTATCCTCGTCTTCATCATCCTCATCACCAAAATACATATCATCGTAGATATTTACCTTAGCTGGAGTTACTACATTTGATGTCGCCTTGTTCTGTCTTTCTTTCTCTATCCTAGCCTCTTCTTCCTCGAAAGCTTCCATGATAATTTTGTCAAAGTCATCCTCAGCCCGTGTTGCTGAAACCAAGGGTTTTGCTTGCTCCTCCAATATATTATCCTGATCATTCGAAATCTCCTCTTCGGAATCGATAATAAGGCCTCCCCGATCATCTGGTAATTCAGTATTGGGATTTTCAGTGAAATAATCAATAATAGTTTGAATTTGACTATCAGATAATTCCGATATAGAATTTGCACTATACGTTGTGATATATTTGATTTTATCAATTCCTATTTTCTCAAATAGTTTGTATATGCTTCTTGCTCTCTGAGTTTGTTTTAGTAATGTGTTACGTTTAGTACCAAGTTGCGCAATAATAAAATCATAGATTTGCCCTTTCGCTTTTTTCTCACCAATTCGTTTAATTTTCATAACATTTTTTACTTGATTATCGAACTCTATAACATAATGATACCAACATAAAATTTCATCTTGATTGGCCCTAATTCTTTGCTTTTCCGCATCGCAAGCTTTCTGATATAAACAGGCTAAATTTAGTAATGGTTTGCTTTTCGCTACAGATAGCATAACTACGGAATTTTTTTCGGTATTTTCAGTGACGGGAAGTGGGTTTCCCGTCATGGAAATTTTAGTCATATGATTTTTCTCAGTTACCGAAGTAGCTGTGAAATCAAATGCATCCTGTACAATATTCTCCGCTTCCCTCTTCTTATGTGATTGAGAGTTTTTGTCCTTCGTTACAGAAGAAATGTCCACTTTAGTAAACCCAGATAAGTCCTGGGTAGCTGACTCACGTAATAATTTATTTTCTCTATTTCTCTGCATAATCTCATTACTAACCTTTTTCTTATGCACTTCATCTAAGAAAGAATCTGTTTTCTTATCTTCCGATGACTTGATGTCTGCGTTATTACTAGATGTTCCATTTATGGACTGACCCATTACAGGATCAGGTATATCATGCGAAGCGAAGCGCCTCTCGGGCTCAGCATCTGGCTGTGGTACAACTGTTACCTCTGATATCTTTTCTTCTCCAGAGCACGAGTTCTGCGCGTTAGTAACGTGCTGTGGTTGCTGAAGCCTCGTGAGATTGGAGGAATCAAAATCATGTCTTAATTTGACTAATTCAGCTTTGAGCTCTGCATTCTCGGCTGAAATATCTGCACTATTTTTCTCCAATTCCTCGATTCTGATCTTGTGCTCGGCATTCTCAGCATCACGCCTAGCATTCTCCTCAATAATCCGTCTCAATTTCGCATTCTCATTCTTAAGTTCTCCATTCTCACCTTCGATCTCAGCAACCTTCTTCCTAAGCTCACAAATCTCAACTAAGAGCTTGGCATTTAATTCTCTTAATGAATCGTTGGATTGAGTGCTTGACATGATTAATAAAATTTTATACAAGAATGTGAATTATTCAATATTATGTTGCGAATGTAAAGACGAACTTTATTAATACAGAAATAAAAAACAAATACAAAGTCAGTTGACTTTGTCAACCTGATACATGACAAATTTTCTATGCTAATACATGCGAAAAATAAATACAAATGTTCGGGACTAGCCCGTGATACATATTATTTTTTTGATAAATTCACGAAATACACATGCAAAAGTAAACGCGATTATGTATGCGAAATCGGCCACCAGGGCCAGTTTTATTAATAATCGCCAAATCAAATTCCAATACAGCAATAATACAAAAATGTGATTATTATTTTTTATTAATATCATTACATGCTAGATTCATCTATGCTAAACTTAATCGATCCACTCTTCCTAAATTTCAATATTCCATTTAATCTTGCAATAAGCCTGTTCTCCAAAGCGTCTGATTCAACATGGCAAGATCATGAGCTTTTGTTACTAATTTCCCATCTTCTGCACCAACTGGCCATTTTATATGAACATGATTCATAAAGTGAGAATAACGTGCGGAACCAACCTCCCCAGACCACTCAAAATCGATCAATTTCACATCAAAATCATTGTTCTCAAATCGACGAATTAGAATATTTCCTTCACGCAAATCTCCATGTACATGTTCCAAATTATGTAAATGTTCAACCATCTTTTCGATTTTCACTCTTAAAGAATTTCGATCTTGATCATTAAGTTTAAAAGCGACGCAATCTAACGTCGAATGATTGTCCAAGTATTCCATATAAACCAAAAGCCAATTTCCAGGAATAATTGAACTAGCAAGGACTTTTGGAGCATATCCAGCTTCTGCTAAGAGCTGATGTGTATTAAGTGAATATTTGCACTTTTGAATAGCCTTTATGTAGACTTTTTTAGGTGGCCCTTGTTCGTTAGAAAGAGTAGCTTCCCAAAGAAGATAACCATCAATATGGCGAATAATCTGAACGCTATAACATTCTCTATCAATTGTTACTTCAGGGAATAAAGGATGCTTAGGGTGGACTGTTCGAGGGTTTTTTCGAGCTTGCTCATCAACTTGGCCATAGTAATGATCAAGAATTTGGATAGATTTCTTAATAGCACGAAATGTTCTAGAAATTGACAACATCATTTCGTCATGTTTCTGCCAAATGAGGGGAAAGACCGGAGTAAGTGGGTCAACAATAGCAACATCTGCAAACACTGCACCAGAAACTGAAAAATAAGGCCCTAAAGTGCAATCAAAGTAAGTCAAAAATTCAGAAAAAATATATCAAATTGAATTTACTACTATACCTGCAATTGTAACTAAAAAGCATGGAAAATTAGTGACACGAAATGAAGGTTGGTTTTTTTGTTCGTTGCAGAAAACTAAATAATAGCCACAATTTTCTAGATAAGGAGAGGTCTGAGAACTACAATCTTCACACTTGTACTCGAAATTAACCCCATGATACTTAAAAGTACGAGAATGGGATATAGTGCCGTCAGTATGTGCACTCCTTATATTGCTGTTATTTTTTTGGCGTTTAATCGAGATTGGTTGCACGGGGTGATCGAGATATTCTCTTAACATTTTATTTGCCTCATCCTGACGATCTTCCTCGTCATTATAAATTTCGGCCATTGTACAACAAAAATTATATGTGAATTCATTGTCTTCTTTTTCTGGATCTTCCTCACAGAAATCCTTAAATTGGCCAAAAATAGAATTATACAAGCTAACAGGTATAACTCTAGAAGCTTTTGGTGGACGGTGATTGTAACAACAAGGAGAATCTTTTTGTCGCTCGACCCAAACCTTGGGATTTCCAAGCGTCGACGGTGGTGGTAAATCTCCCAACATATCAAGATATGATCTTTTAACACCTGTAGAACGAGACTGCGTTAGCTCAACTTATTTGCGATCAGCCAATAATTGATATATCGTACCTCTTTTTATGTCAGAGATTATGACCGGATTATCAATCGAACATTTGTGTATTTCAATGAAATTAATAAACTCCTTTTTTGACCAGCTAATATCTATTTCTTTATTAGAAATAGTAAACATATGAAGGTCCAGAGTGCCCCTGAGATTATCGAATGCCTTTTCCAAAAGGACATATAACTGAATAAGATCTTTCCATCCATCGGAACTAAAATTTATAATTTGTGAATCAAGATACCGGAAGTATAAAGGAACTAAGAATAGAATTATTACACTAGTTAACGTAATGATATACCAAACATTTATGGTAAAATGAAGCGTGAAAATAATATATATTTGGTGGTATTTACCTTCCTCTTTAAACTTAGACGCCTGTAATATTGCTAACCTTTCCTTCAATTCTTGCACCTCCTGATTTGGCGCTGTCGTAGCTATTTAACAATAATAAACGTATGAGGCCCAAGTTAATAAATGAAATTATTGCGGAGAAAGCAGTATAGGTTTGGAATATTCGAATGCAGTCGTGG